GTGTGTGTGTGTGTGTGTGTGTGTGTGTATATACACACACACACATGCATATATATATCCACATAACACTTTGAGTGAAAGTTGCATGTCTTAGTATTATTTTTGTGTTATTTCCAGGTTTAAATTAGATGATCAATTCCAGATTTTCTCTGTGGTCTCATATTTTTGACCTCCCCTGAATGTGATTTAGTCACTTGGGTGACATGCTGTATCTGTGTGTTTTAGTGCTTAGAAGGTGCTAAAGGGGAGAAAGGAGAGAAGGGGGAGTCGGTAAGTGTGTGTGCCAACCTTGTCTTGGAGAGAGAGGTGATCGAATTTTGGTTCAACAGGCTTCACTGAAGCAGAGGGGATATCTTGATACTATTTCTAGCTATTGATTCACCCATTTCTCATTCTGTTACGTTTCAGGGTCTGGCTGGCAACTGGGGAGAAGCTATAGGAGTGAAGGTAAAGGAAGACACCACCGTGTTGATATACTGTTAATGAGTGCAGTAGAGCTTGCAAGCAGCTGATCTCCATTTCTGTCTGTCTGTCACTCTCATACACATACTCAGGGTGACAAAGGGCAGAAAGGAGAAATCGGAGCCCCAGGTCTGCCCGGAAGTCCAGGCAAAGACGTAAGTGGCTAGCATTTGATCTGAAAGTCAAAGATGCTCATATTTATGTCCTACTTTATGTACATTATGTATACCAGCTCCCCTCCTGAGTCTCCTTCAGACGTGTTGATATCTTTCAGTGTCTCACTGCAGGAATGTACACAAAAGACAATTGTATAGCATGCACAGTATGTCTCTGTGCACATATTTTCATTTTAAAAGGATGCAAGAGTACCTTTCCTTTTATATTGTTTAAAGTGGCTCCATATATTCACAGTGATCTGCTGCAAAAAGCATGATGCATTAGACTCTTACCCATATACTCACGGCTGCCTTTTCTTCTCATTAGATATCTCTTTGGGTGTTAAATCTTTTTAATGCTGCATAGATTACATAAGCCAACAAAGAGCCAAAAATCAATGCAGCCTCATTGATTCTTTTAAATGGATAGTCAGGTCGCATTACGCTTAATCTTTTCTATTCTGTATACAAAGCATGCTAAGGGGATGGCGGATATGGCCAAGTTGACTAATTCCATATTTGGAATTTGCTTTTAAACTGTTTATCTATCTAAGCCTCGAGTAATCTGTGAACTGACTTGTTCGATTCCTGTTGGAGGGTTGTTATATAAGCAGTGTGATACTGCCAATGCCAGCGTTTGAAATGAACTCAAGCTAATGATCTTTTATTGGTCTTGGCTGTCACAGGGTCGAGCTAATCCTATTTGTGTGGTGGGCCCTAAAGGACAAAAGGTAAAACGGACTGATCCTCTTGGGATTCATTTAATGGTTTTCTGGGATACTATAAATTAACTAGTTTTGTGGTGTCATTATCTTTAGTGCTTGTTATGCACAGCAAGTGTTTCTCAGTGCTGATTAATTCACAGGGTTTTCCTGGTGTAGTTGGTCCAGAGGGGCTTGCAGGAGAACCAGGCTGGCCAGGACCTCCAGGACCTCCTGGAGTTGGGAAACCAGGACCACCGGTAGGATGATTTATCATTTAAATACAATATTTATAGACAATATTTTTCAGTTTATTAGATAGAAAATAGAGCCGACCTCCAAAAACTGGAGCTGCAAAAATCTGCCAACTGCAGAAAGTTTTTGAGTTTCTGAGAAAAACTGTAACTGATTTTTAATTTATTTATTATTATTATTTATTTTTGTATTGTCAATGAATGTTTTTGGAACAACTTTTCAGCTTTGTTTTGTTCTGCCAATATATTTTCATACTTTTTTTTATTTTTTCCCTCTCATTTCTGAATTGGCAAAAATCTAAAATAATCAGACTGCTATAATATAATCAGGCTATATTAAGAATAGTATACTCCTCAGCATACTACATTAGCATCTCTGCAGTATGTATGTGTTCTGCACTATCACTATTCCTGTAGCATGAATGTGTAGACCTACAACATTTGCTAGAATATCTGGTATACAGCAGAAAAATGCAACACACTGATCTGTTGACCTTTAATTTAAAATGATCAAATTTCATTAAAAATGACATTTTGTCACTTATTATTTGATCAGACTGACAAGAGTTAAAATATTTTACACCAAAATTGGAGTATTGGGGTATTTTGAAGTATACAGTAGTGTTCAAATGTTTTAATAAAAGATTTATTCAGCAAAGGTGCATTAAATTGATCAAAAGTTGATCAAAAGTGACAGTAAAATATTTATAATCTTACAAAATATGTATATTTAAAATAAATACTGTTCTTTTGAACTTCCCATTCATCAAAATATCCTGAAAAAGTGTATCAGTTCCCACAAGAATATTAAAGAGCACAACTGTTTTCAACAAAAGTAATAAGAAATGATCATATTAGAATGATTTCTGAAGGATCATGTGACACTGAAGACTGGTGTAATGGCTGCTGAAAATTCAACTTTGCATCACAGGAATACACTACATTTTACATATATTTACTAAAATAGAAAACAGTTCTTTTAAATTATAATAATATTTCAAAATATTACTATTTTTACTGTTTTTTGATCAATTGCAGCTTTGGGGAGATTAAGAGACTTTTTTTCAAAAACATTAAAAAAATCTTACCAACCCCAACCTTTTGGTCAGTAGTGTGTATATGATACAATTTAATAATCAACATATAATTTGATGTCATGTGACACACTGTACATTTTGTATTCTAATGGTGTTAAAGCATCTATTGTTGCATAGTGTGCGCTGTTTAATATACAAAAAAAAAAAAAGGATACTAAGCATTTTACAGTTATTAGTATACTAGTTTTCTATTTTGTCCCTTTTTACCTCACAGGGGCCCCCTGGTGGACCTCCAAGATTTAAAGGAGAGAAAGTATGTTTACTAATATATGTTTTCCTGCTTTGACCACAAAGTGATCAGGATGTTAAATATATTTTTAATGAAAATGTACCATTAGCTTTCTTGAATCCATTGCAAAGTTATATCTAATAATAACAAAACATTCTGTCCATTTCCAGGGGGATTCAGGGATACCTGGTGAAGACGGAAAACCTGGAGAACCTGCAAGTGCATTTTTTTCTCATTTTGACCTATAGAGGGATGTCAATGTGAAACGATGGCGTGTGCTGAATCGTTAAGACAGAAGATGCTAATTATCCTGATTTTCTATCACTATCCTGATTGTTCTGTCACTGTAAGCGACAAAATATGTTTACTATCATCAGCACCATAATTAATTTTATTACCACTGGAGCTATCAGCGCATAATTTGCATTTGCAACTCAATGAGCGTCTGCGGTTCTAATCTTCATGCATACCCAATGACGTGGTTTGTTTTGCTGACAGGGTCCGAGAGGTCCTTGGGGACCTAAAGGTGAGAAGGTAAGTCTAAGCAGTCCGAGTTTGAGATTCTGCATGAAAATTACTGTTGCTTATTATGAGTCTGCTCAGAATTCACAGGAAGTCACAGTGCATATTCTTGACTGTTACTGCTTTATTTTTAAAAGTTACAGTTCCACCAAAAATTATTACACATAATTTACTTACTCTCATGTTGTTCCAAACTCATATGACTTGCTTTCTTGCTTGTGACACAAATGTCCAATGCCATTTTCTCCATAGTATGGAAGTCATACCTGTGTTTTTTTAGCATTATTTATATACTAAAGGGTTGGGTCCAAGTCCACCTTGTTGAGTCTGAGTCAAGTCCTGATTTTTAAACAATTGAGTTTGAATAGGAGACCTTTATTTATGTCTTTTAATCTTAATTTTATGTTGTTACTTTTTTTTTTATCTTTTATAAAAAATGACCGTGAATTTAACGGTAAAAGACTGTAAAAATGCTACAGTAAAAACCTGTTAAATGGTTAACGGTAAATTCCCCTACTATATACGGTGAAAAACTGTATTGGACATTACATGTAATGGACATAACTTTTACGGTAGTATACCGTTTTTGGAAGTGAAAAATACCGTATAATTTACAGTGAATAACCGTAAATTGACATTCCAGTTACATTTCAAATTTGATGTTTTTTTGTTGAAATAACTATGTTTCTTCTTAGTTTTTTCTTATCAGTTTTGTATATTAGGGTTGTGTGTTACACCTAATGTTGTTAAATTAATGTTTATTGCATTATTTCAGTTTCATGTGTGTTACCATGATGGTGTTTAGCGTTTGTGTGAATGACACTGTACACCTTCTATATATGTTATTATTTAAAAGCTGCTTGTGATGGGCTTTGGTTCATCATGTGACTTTCTCATCACCACCTGCATTTGGTGGTTATCAGTGTTACAAAGGTACAAAACAGATTTCAGTTCTTCAATAGGTTGGTATATTAATATTATATCAGTTAATGAAATTATGGTATTTAACTGTAAATTTAAGTTAAAACCGTAAAACCTAAAGCGTTGCTACCGTATTTTTTACGGTAAAATTCCGGCAACCACAGCTGCCGGTTTTTTATCGTACATTTTTTTTTTTTTACAGTGTATGTTACACATGAATTCATCTGTACTCTGAAAAATGTTTGTGTTCAAAATGTCAGAGTCTGAGTTCATTCATAATTGCAAGTCAGAGTACCCCAACTCTAATATACTATTATTATTATAATAATAATTTGTATTAACATTTTGAATTTAATTTTAATTTTAGTTAAATTTTTAGTCATTTTGTTATGTGCTTTTTGTCATTTTTTTATATGACTATTTATGTTTAATTTATTTTTATAATTATTTTTTTTTTTTTCAGTTTTCATTCAGTTTCTTTTATTATAATTTGTTCTTTATTTCCATTTAGTAGTTTTAGTGTTTCAACATACCTGTATTTCAGTAAGGGTTTTTAATTTCTGTTTACTTTAAGTTTTTCTTTTAATTAGGGGTTCAAGCGCGTAGTGCTGAAACCCTATTGTAATTGTTAGAATGGCCAAGGATCAGCAATCGCTACATAAAACTGATCGGGCAGACCAAACTGTAAGTCGTAGAGACTTGAAACTTGGAGGGATTGTAGTACTCACACCGTCTACAACGTCACCCAGGCATGCCCCAATCGGCCTGACGAGGGTGCTACAGAGATCAAAAGTACAAAATTGCTCATAACTCCTAAAACTTTAGTCGCAGGCTCAAGTGCCTTACGTCGTTGGAATCCTTGGCTCACGATGGACAAAACACATGACATTCATCACCCTGGTGAAATTTTTGAGTATTTTGGATTTTTTGAAAAACCTACTTTTGGAACCAAACCAGTTCAGAAGTATTCTTTGGAGAGTGAATATCAATGATTATCAAAAAAAGTTGAACTTTCAACTCACCGTCACAAAGGGATGCCAAAACATTAGAAAGGGGCAGGGCCACTTTTACTAAAGAGGGGAAAAAACATTAAAATGGCTACAACCATGCAACCATTTGTCTGATCAACATGAAAATTGTATGCCGTGTCTTTGTCTAAAGTGCCACAGGTGTCTATATGGACATTTGCGTATCTCCAAAAACATGGCCGCCATTGGCCAATGAAGTTTGAACACCTACTGGACAAGGTTAACGGAAGTCGATCGGAACGAAACTCAGTAGGCCTGTTTGACTCATGGCCCTAAAGGTCTGTGAGATATTTGAAAGAAATCAGACTCTGGGGGGGCGATATCGCATTTCCCCTTCAGGAACTCGAGCTGCGTCGAGATCGCTTTGGGAACGCCCCTGCGTGACCACGTTCTGAAGCACGTGTGAAATCAGTCCAATGGAGCAGCGAGACGTCACGAGCGGGGTGACGTGAGCGCCAGGAAGTATAAAAGCGCATCCGGCAGAGCGCAAGTTAGCTTCTGCTCTTCAGTAGCGCTCTGTGTATGTGTCAGTCTATTTACTGTTGTCTGTTACTCCACAAGCATTCAAAAGAATATATCAAAGTCTAAACTAATATCTATGGCGAGCAAACGGCATTACAGACGTTGTGTGCCTCCCTGCCCACACTATCTGGCAGCGGGGGATACACACGATCTGTGTGTTGTTTGTTTAGGAGCGGAGCATGCACGGTCAGCTTTCGAGGAGCTGATTGTCATCACTGCGAGTTACTCTCGCTGCGTATGCTCCGCTCTCGCCTGGCTGTGTTTGATGAGAGCAGCCAGGCTCGCAATCCCGCTGGAAGCGGTCCCGCTGTTGCCGAGGCACAGCGTAGACTGTTGTCGTGGGGATCGCGGGTGGATTTAGCGGAGGGATCCGAGACGGGCTCGTCCTTTTCTCGGTCCTCACCCGCTAGATCCGCGGCTCTCTCTCAGTGTTCGGAAGCCCGCACTGCGGTTTCTTCCCCCCCCCCAGAGAGAGAGAGCCAGACGCTTCATCTATCTTCCTCCGAGGAGGTGGATGCCTCCAAGGCTTTCAGCTTGGGTGTGGCCTTGCAGGACATTTGTGCTGCGGCGGGCTGGTCCTCTCCGCACACTTTTGTCCGCTTTTACAACCTAGACCTGGCATCTACCCCAGGTTCCCAAGTTCTCTCTTCGTGATGTGCTCACAAGATACACACACAGGCAGGGACTTGGTAGTATGGCGCAGTGGGTATTCTCGTTCCCAAAGCGATCTCGACGCAGCTCGAGTTCCTAAAGGGGAATGTCTCTAGGTTATGTATGTAACCATGGTTCCCCGAGGGAACGAGACGCTGCGTCTCTTTGCCATACTCCCTGCATCCCTCCAGGCGCTATATTTCATCGAAGCTAACTTGCGCTCTGCCGGATGCGCTTTTATACTTCCTGGCGCTCACGTCACCCCGCTCGTGACGTCTCGCTGCTCCATTGGACTGATTTCACACGTGCTTCAGAACGCGGTCACGCGGGGGCGTTCCCAAAGCAATCTCGACGCAGCGTCTCGTTCCCTCGGGGAACCATGGTTACATACGTAACCTAGAGACGTTTTCAAGGGTGTAAACGATTGTATATTCTGCGGTTTTTCAAACATACACATAATATTCATATCAACTGATAGACCTCCTCATTCCGAACAGCTTTGCCTCTAGAACCACTGCTCTCAATCAAATTGTTTGTTAAATAATTGAAAATATGTAGCTATTATGTAAAACTATTTTTGAGAACTAGTACTAGGTTTTTCGCTCAATCTCGAAAAAAGCACTGCAGTACAGTTATCTGGACTCTCTAGGTCTTGACCCTTTGGGTAGCTATAATATACCCAAAAGCCTATAAAGCCTAAATGAAAACTCGAAACATCACGAAACTAGGTGAGCACATGCAACGGGTGATTCTAAACAAGCATGTAAAGTTTTATGGAGATCGGACCACAGGTGGTGCTATAACAGTTAAAAAGGCTTCAAAATGTCTCAGGCTACACATGTAACCATGGATCCCTGAGAAGGGAACGAGACACTGCGTCCTCTAGCGGTCACTATGGGGAACACCATAGTGACCACTAGAGGATGCAATTCAAGTTCCCTTGGAAGGGAAACACTCTATTTCTACGGTAAATGACCTCAAATTGCAGAAAATGTTCATATATTCACGCATACACTAGATTTTCACATCATACACTCGATCTCCTCATTCTGAACAACTTTGCTTCTAGGACCACTCTTGTCAATCAAATTGTTCTTAAAATATTTGGCATTATTATTAAAAAACCTTCTTTTGCGAACTACTCCTAGGTTTTACACTCAACCGCAATAAAACAACTGTAGTACAATTATCTGGACTCTCTAGGGCAATAATTATCAAAATATGTTGAACTTTCCTATCTGGATGGCTGTAACAGGGTCATTTCAAAAATGGGCATGGCCAAATATACCCCAAAGCCTATAAATCCTAAATGAAAACTCAAAACTTCACAAAAATGGGTGAGCACATGCAAAAGTACAATTCTATGGACACTGTAGGTCAATAATTATCAAAAAAAATAATAATTCAACTTAACACTTTGGTTAGCTATAACGGTCATTTTTAAAAGGAGCATGGCCAAATATAGGCTTAAATGCCTTAAAGTGCTTGAACCCCGTTAATCGCTGCTTGCAGCTGTATTATTTATATTTTATTTCAACTTTATTTCAATTAACAAAAATATTTTTAATAGTTATACCATAATAACCCTGAGTCATACAGGTTTAGAACAATATGAAGGTGAGCAAATGATTAGAGAATTTTCATTTTTAGAGGAACATTCCATTTAATATGCTTTTTTCTGTCTTCAGGGAGATCCATGTGAACCATGTCCAGTGGTCTCTTCCAACTCTACTGGCAACACTGTGGCCTTTCAGAGCAAGCAGGGACCTAAAGGAGAACCAGGGGCCCCAGGCAAAGGAGAACAGGGTCCATCTGTGAGTTCACTCTCGAAACCACTGCTTGTGTTTATCACAAAAAACTAGAAACAGTTTAGCATGTTTGATTAAATGTCACTGTTTAGCATCCTGAAACTGCTTTTATCTTCCAATACACAATTCGGTGCCTGGTAGACACTTAATCATTGCAAAATATCCAGCTGACAGTGCTGTTCACCTCAGTGGGCCCACCATATTTGTGTTTGCCAAGCTCAATGAAATAAGCCAACAATCAGCGAGGTCTTTTTCTCCTGTTGTTGTATTGAATGAGAAATGCTGTCGCCATTCCACTACCCTCTCGCAGGGAGAACATATATTCTATCATGCTTCATTATACCTTAAGAAAAATTCAGGTCTCTCCTATCATCCATGAAATCCATAAACTTTTCCCCCCTCAAAGTTTAGACCACTTACTGTGTCAGATTTAATTTTACTCAATGACTACGGTAAAGGCCTCTCCATTTTTTAGCCTATTAAAATTTCTCCTCTCTGTTCTTCAGAAAAAATTCTGACAAAAAAAGGATTCTATGCAGCATACCATAAAGCGCTTGTTCGCATTTCTCTGTAATGATTTCCAATACCATCACAATCTATTCCTCATACCTATTTATGGGACAGAGAGTGAGAGTGTGGGATGCAGAATGTGATTGGGTGCAAATGCGGGACATTTACAGTTGCGGTCAGCTAGGATGACATTAGTGTCATGATTAGCGAGACTGATGCTGATACTTGTATGCCTCTATTTTCATAGGGCCTTGCAGGACTGGATGGCAAAGCAGGACAGAAGGTGAGTTTTTTACTACTTAGTAGTAAAAAACTACTACTAGTTTTACTACTAGTAGTAGTACACACACACACAGAGAGACAATGAAATAGGCCTTAAATTTTATGTTAATAGCTGCTTCCTGTTGCAGAGCTTTTTCTCAAAAGTCAGCAGCTGTGTGTTGTGACAACTACAGCACATTGCAGTGTATTCCAGACTAAACTACTGCGGTTTCTTTTTTTTTCCAAATTCAATAGTGCTGAGTCACTGAAAATGTCATCCAGAGTTTGAGTAATTTTTACAAACTGTCTTGCACATTGTGATTCTTTCACAGGGAGAGCCAGGAGTAGACGGGGCCAAAGGCGAAAAGGTGAGTCTGCCAGGCGTTGGCAAGAAAGATGAAGAATCTGTTCACTGTTTGTGAATTGCTTGACACTTGGAGAAGTTCTGAAGCAAAATTAAACTGCGAAGTCTTGCCATCTTTGTTCTCTTAGGGTGAACTATGTTCTGGCTGCCCTAGCATTGGAGAAATTCCAGCAGGCATTTTGAATCCAGCTCAAAAGGGAGAGAAAGGAGATCCAGGTGCTGGACAGAAAGGAGAGCAGGTGAATGTGATGGAGTGATTGCTCATTAACATCCAGCACACAGCCTTTAAAAAACTTCCCACAAGTCCTGAAGTGCAGTAAATTACAATGCAAGCAGTTTTTGATATCCACTTCTGTGGTTGTGTATGAGTGTGTAGGGATGCATATATTGGCTTAAGCATAATCGCAGACAGCCCTGATCTGTGTAGCTCCTCACAGATATAAGCCTCAGCACAGATATAAGACTCAGGCACAAATGCTTTAAAAAAATTATTGTAATGTCAGATTGGGGAATTAATCAGCCAAGGCTTTCATTTCATGTCTGTTAAGCAAGAGAATATGCGCTGATATTCTCTGATTTTCTTTTTCTTTTCTTTCTTTTTACTTGATTTTCATGTACAGGGAGAAGCAGGTCCAAGTGGCTTTGCTGGACTAAAAGGGGAAAAGGTAAACCTAATAAATATTTATTCACTAGGATGCTGAATTTCTACATTTTCGAATGGTTTTAAGGTTGTTAAACAGTATTATAGATAGGTACACATGCACATGCAGTGACCCGAAAAGTATTTGGACACTTAAATGTGTGGATGTCATTATTTTAGGTAAGTCAAACAAAGCATTTTACAAAAATAAGTTGGTTGTCAGATTTAATGGACCATCGCTCTACTTAATGTGATGAACTACATTACTACTGTACTCTCTTAAAAATAAAGGTGCTTCACGATGCCATAGAAGAACCTTTTTGTCTAAATGGTTCCATAAAGAACCTTTAACATCTGAAGAACCTTTCTGTTTCCCAAAAGGTTCTTTGTGGCGAAATAAGGTTCTTCAGATTACAAAAACGCAAGAAAGAGATGGTTCTTTAAAGAACCTTTGACTGAATGGTTCTTTGTGGAACCAAAAATGGTTCTTCTATGGCATCGCTTGAAGAACCTTTTGAAGCACCTTTATTTTTAAGAGTGTTAGGGCACCTGTGTGGAGAGAAACTGACTTCCTACATCCATTAAAAATGACCTTGGGTTAAAAGTTAGTTCTGAGAAAAGTTAAGAGTTTTTTGTTTTTTTTTTGTCCAGTGCATTGATATTCATATGCTTAAATGTGGCTTATGTGTCCAAATACTTTTTGTAGACACTGTGCATGTTTATAGTGTATGGTAATTATCAAAGGGAAATAATCTTTAGCACAGAACATGTTTTGCATTCTATTGCATTATAAAATAATGTAGTCATTTAAGAAACTATGACAATTTTCTGAAGTTGCTTGTCTCACACTTGACACTTTGTTTGGTTATAGGGTAATGCAGGCAGCAACGGAAATGAGGGGAAAACTGTAAGTAACCTTTTTTTTATTCTTATATATTCTATTTGTTTTTAAGTTGCATCTGTGATTTATGACTGACCTCAGCATTAGATTAATGTGTAGATGCTGATGTTTTTTAGGGCAAACCTGGTCCAAAAGGGTCAAGTGGAAATAAAGGAGATAAGGTGATTAAGCTCAACTCAGACTGGTACTCTGCATTAATTTTAAAGTGTGTAGATTGCAGCCTCACAGCACCAGGAGACATAAATAAATAATATATATATTATATAATATATATTTTGTATAATTATAATATATAAATGTAGAAATTGCCAAAAAAGACAGAAAGACTGTCTAGCTTAGTTTAGTGTAAACTGCCAGGAAACATAAAGGTTTCTAAAGGATCATGTGACACTGAATACTGTAGTAATGGCTGCTGAAAATTCAGCTTTGCCATCGGAGAAATAAACTACATTTAACAATGATTCAGATAGAAAAGAGTTATTTCAAATTGTAATGATATTTTTGTGATTTTACTGTTTTTACTGTATTTTTCATCAAAAAAATGTAGCCTTGATTTCAAAAACATTACAAAATCTTACAGATTATATATATATATATATATATATATATATATATAAGACATTCTGAAATTCATGTTTCTTTTT